AGGCTCACAGTACGCTCTGTGTGCTTTGGGAGTCGGCCTCGTCGCCCTGGGAGTAGTGATGATTGTGTGGAGCATGGTGCCCGTGAACACCGGTTTTAATAACAGCAGCAGCAGTTCAGGGGGGGATGATGGAATCGATGGCAAGAGAAATAAAGCGTCCTCTGTGGCCTTTGTGCTGGCTGGCTCCGGGGTGGCTATGCTGCTGCTGTCTCTGTGTCTGGGAATGAGGAACAAGCAGCGGGAGCGGCTGAGACGCCAGGAGGTCCAAAACCAGAGAGAAGCGGCGAGGGAGCAGGAGGAGAGAGAAACGTGAGTTTACTCTGCTCGCGACTTGACCTCATTTTGTTGCTTTTAGGTTGACAAGCACCGGATGTTAGATTTAAGTCTGTTTAGAGAACAGAAAGTCGTCTCATGGGAAAGATTCTCTGAATTTTTTTTTTTTCTCTCTCTCTCTCTCTCCCTCTCTCTCTCTAAGTTTTTACTTAGTAGCTGACTTGTTAAAGCTTATGGAGAGAGGTTGTGGACATCATAAAATGATAAAGAATGAAAATGGTCGAGAAAATGTAGGTTACATGTAACCAGTATCATTTTCACAGTTTTTAGCTGTGGTGTCACAGTTAAATATTTTCTTGATATAGTACAGCCTTAGTGAGACGAATGATTCATGACAGTGAAAACAAACGTCTTGTATGACAATTTGAGAGTTATATTGCTTTATCAAAGATTTTATTTATATTAATTCTGTTCAAAAATAAAACTCATTATGTTGTCATATTCATGACAAACTGAATTTATTCATTTATATGATTATTATGACAGAAATGTGCTTTGGCTTGGGAAAGGCTGCTCACTCCTTACCCAATGAAAAGCGACTGTTTGTCTAGTAGATTGTCACTGACGATCTGCAAGTCAGTGACATATTAACGCTAAAGATGCCAGCTTTTCAGAACTCTGTAAGCAAACATATTAATTAAAAGTTTAAGTGGAAGGAAAAAGGAAAGGGTGGTTGGAAAAAAAGGGATAACCACAGGATTGTGACGCTAAGCCCACTCCTGTACAAGAGACGACATTGGAAGTGTCTTAACCTGAGTTGGTTAAGAAAAGGACTGGTGTGTTTGTTATAAGAAACGTTTGGTTTTAAGACTCCCAGCAAGTCATTGCATGAGTTAAAAATGTTTTGGCAATTTCTGTGTGTTTCTACTCCACTGGGTTTGGTCATGATATTTTTAATCAAGTGTTTTTATCCCATTAAAATTCCATGACAGCCTTCTGTCATTACTTGAAAAGATGCATTTGGAAGTATTTACGTTTCTGATATCAGTGAAGTTTCAGGAAGCTGATGCACAGCTTTAATTTGTGAGTCTGCTGAATCGGATTATGTGACATCATAACAAATTAGAACATGGTGGATTGTGGGAAAGAGGTTTCAACCGGAAACCTGTCATGAACGGCGCCATTTTCCCTCTTTATCATTTTGTAGCTTTTTACGTTTGGTTTAGGTTAGGTTGTACTTTGTCAAAAATACCTGAATTCTACACAAGGAGTAATTTGAGAAAATACTAACTTACAAAAAAAAAAAAAAAAAAATGGGTTACAAAATGGTTTTTAAAAAAATGAGTCCAAAAGTAGTTATTTATACCACTTTTGTCCTCAAAAGTGGTATAAATAACTACTTTTAGTTGCACATTCATAAATTTACGAATGCGCACAGTTAAGCTGGAAATTATTCATACCTTCTGCAAATTTAGATTTGAATAATTTCTTGTTGTCAGAAGAAACATAATAAATCAACCTACACCTGCCAGGGATATGAATAGTTCTTGGTTTAACTGCATTAAAAAAAAAAATTGGGTTGGAAATTTGACAAATAGGCGATTTTTTTTTTCCCCCCCCAGAGCTGTTTGTGGTTCACTTTAATTTATGTATTTTCATCTCTGCAGGGCTGAGGAGCGGGCCCAGCGCTACGCAGTACCAAGCTACGAGGAGGCGGTCAGCAGCGGGCAGTACCCTGTCCGTCAGAGCAACCTTCGTCCAAGCGTCTCCCAGCTGCCGTCCTACGACGACCTCGTCCAGGTCGACGGCATCCAGTATGAAAACGAGGTCGCCGACGTCAACTCCACCATTCCACAACCTGCCCCGGCTTGTAGCTCTCCCAGCGCTACTATTTCTACATCAACCCATAGACCGGGGAAAAGCAGCCGGCATTTCCTCCCCATCAAAATCCGAAGGATTAAGTCGGAAAAGCTTCCCATGAAAAACACGGGGAGCTCTCAGCCGGCAGCTGGAATCAGTATTGAACCGCTCACCCCTCCGCCACAATATGAAGATAAGGTTCCTCCACTTTAAGGTCAAGCTGCTGTTTAAAGCTATTGACTGAAGTTCCTAGAATCTTCCATGGCCAACCTTTGTGGATATGGATGTGCTTTGTTCAGCCAAGAACTGAAGGAGGCTTCTTGCTTTCAGCTGAAGAATGTTATATTTTCACATTTGTCGTCGTGGCTCCTGACTGTAAAGTGCTTTTTTTTTTTTTTTTTTTTACGGACCTAACTTTATCACTCTGTTAAGTGACAAAGTTTTGTCAAACTGTGGCATATCAGATTTCAGCTTCAGAAACCACCTTGACTTTGTACTGATTTTGCAGGTGAATCGGTAGTGGAGCTCATGAGATGTTAGAGAGAGGCTGCTTTTAGGATTTTTCTATAAAAAATGGATCCATGCACTCATTTTGTGAGCTCTTTTATGCCACTTTTAAAGACCCATTTATTGCTGTCAGTACTAAACCAAACATGGACCTTAACGTTGCTAAAGCTGTGCTATCATGTTACCTGGAAGCCTTTGAAGATGTCAACAAAAGTAGTAAGTCACACCATTAAAGTTTTCTCTATAAGGGGGGGAGACACATTTTGATGACCACAAGCATTTGATTCTTAATAAGAGTCCAGATTTGACATTCTCTGAAACTCTGGCTGAGATCGTACCAGCTTATAACTTAGTTTTTCTCTTGATGGAAATTAATTTGCTCGCTTTGGAACTACCACTCTTTAAATAGTCCTTACAGAATCTTAGCACCTTGGTTAAAGATGTGTAAAAAGCTATAAATTATTATTATTTTTTTTTTTTACTGTGGTAATATAATCTCACAATAAATTCAAATCACTCTGGTTCTCTAACGGTGATCCTTAGGAATTTCTTTTAACTTTATTACCATTCCCTTCACTTTGCTTGGTGGCAAGACAAACTTGGGTTTATGACAAGACCAACAGTTCCAATTATGTACACCGTTTTTATAACTGCTTGGACTGCAATCATGAGCAAGTTTAGGGGAGGTAGCAGTTTCTTAGTTTATGCAGGTCAACGTACATCTGTTGTACTTGAAAGGCGAGTTTTTTGGTCTTCCCTACGTCAAAGAATGGATCAGAAAACTGGACCTTGGTGTCAAACATTACCGATTGATCAATCTTAGACAATGAACAAAGTTAATGTTGGGTATTAAAAGTGCTTCAGCTACATTTATTTGATAGAAATTTTTTTAGGGATTTCAAAACAATAATTTCCAGATTGAATCAGTATAGTGAAAATAATGACTGGATTTTTGTTTTTTTTGACTCCGATAAAACAATCGTGATCAAAGCAGGGCTTTATATACATCTCTATATATGCCAGACTCTCTGGACTCGTATGTTTACATGTGTATTAAATAGATAAGGCAGAAGAAAGTAGATGTTGGATACTTTGGTGCAATCCAAGTTTCATTCACTAGTAAAGTGAGTCTTTTATAAAAGCAGAAGTTGCGAGGCAGCATTGATGTCTGAAACCTATTTGTACTCCCAGCTTGTGCAGTAACTTTGGTCTCGGTGGTAAAGTCGTATTTGGTAACCAGTTAACAGACGTCACTTTAAAGGGGGAAATGAGTTCTCCGGGAAACTTCTTTTTTTTTTTTACAAATATGTTAAGATCTGACTTTGAACGCATCAATGAATACCATCCAGCTGTACGCACCGAAAGCATCTTTACTCCAAGAATTGACTTTCAAGGCTTTTTATTAAGACACTGCGTGACTCCGTTGTTGTTTCAGAACAGTGCTGCTTCTGCTCTTGCACACAGCGTGATACTGAGAGATGTGATGTTTGCAGGAATTTGGTGAATAGTTGAAAGCCTGCGCTCAGTAGCCATGGCGAGATGTGAAAGCATGCAGTATAGACTCTCCTTCTCAGGGCTTGTTTTTTTTTTTTTTGTTCAACTTACAAACAGAAAGACTCTTTGACTGTGCAGCTGCAACGCAATAACAGCAGCTGCTCACTGGCTTGCTGATCATCATTCCTTCAACCACAACTTGACCTGCAGGACTGTTTTCATTCTGAAAGTATGCAGGGAAAGAGATGAAAATAAAAATAGGTGGCTCTAGGCTCTCTCTCTATTTCAGGGATATAACTTGTGTTACAGCAGTATGCCGACCTGTCACTATGCCTTCCTTTCTTTTCTTTTTTTTTTTTTTAATGTTAGAAATAAGCAGCGGATGCCAAAGTGACTCCTGAGTTATTCAAGTCAATGTTACTAATTTTGTGAAATTGCACACTTTAGCTTTTTCTCTTTTTGTTTTGCAGAAGAAAGAGCCCTTTACACTCGTGTTTCACAGTTGTTGCTTTGAAGGCTGAAACTGTTCTCATTAACTGGACCTCAGCAATGTACTTTTTTTTTTTTTTTTTTTTAGCAAAAAATATCAGTTTAGCAAAAAGATTAATTTTATACACAAGTTGTCAAATTGTTTTACATTAATTGTAAGTATTTGGCTGTAGGAGTCTCTGTTTTTGTACAATAATGTGTTGTCATTGTCATTTAATGTTGTCTCTTTATGACTACAGTTTATATATTTTATATGTGCAGTGGAAAAAAAAAACAAATCTTGTTTGTGTTTATACAAATGTATTTTTCCCCAGAAGTTTGAAAAGTCATTTATCTCATGAATATTTATAATAAATAAAGAGGAAGCATTTGTTTAATATCTGGGACTCGCCCGGTGTATTTTATTGATGTTTTTTCACCAAATTATGCAATAATCTCCTTTTATAAACTGTGGAGAAGTCAAATATAGCCACAAATGTGACCTGGTTTGGTGGTCATTTCTTGTACATTTAGAACATTACTATTTTTAATATTAAATTTTAATGTCCTTACATTTCACTAGGTGCATCTTTTACATTTGCTAGCTGTTCTTATCAGCGGCATCTTTAGTTGGTGTCCATTACCTGCAGAGGAAATAAAAGAGAACACAAAAAAATTCCCAGATTTTTAATAAATGTTTTTTTTTTGTTTGTTTGTTTTGTTTTTATCAAAAGGTAATTGCAGAAATAAACAGCTACTCACTTGTTTAATCCACCAAACATACGAGCTGACTTGCGTAAAGACCGTGGGCTTCTGCAGAACATTGCAACCCTCACCAGAACCAAAGCTCACGACGCCGTGGACGTCCCAGGAGCCGTCTGGGTTCGGACAATTCAGAGGGCCACCAGAGTCTCCCTGCAGGTTAGCTAGTTGTTAGCTGGCAGTTAAAAAAAAGAGGCTAAATGTTACGCTTTTCCCCTTATTTTGAGTGAAAATAGGAAGAAAAAAACAAATTCTTAAAATTTGTGTTTTTTTTTGTTTTTTTTTAGGAATACACGGATTGTTAAAGTCTAGTGCAATCTCACGTTACAGCCTGCGGCGATGCCATCTCCTCCAGCGCAGACCATTTTCTCAGTTGCCAGGACATTCCACCAGTCGGGCTGCGAGCAGACATCATGGCCGACGACAGGCAGGAGAGCCTGCTGAAGGATGTCAGCTGCAGGACCGTTGGCTGTCTCAGGTGAAAAAAAAAAAAAAAAAAAAAAAAAAGTGCAAATTTTGACTTTGAATAAACAGCGTTAGGATTAAAGGATTTTTGTCTACGGTTAAAATAAATTTGAGCTGGTTAAAATGATCATTATACATGTAATATTAAAGCAGTTTTTCCTTACAATCTTTTCCAGTGAGAAATTGGTATATGTCAGTATGCATGAAATGCTTCCGTAATCACATTGTATTCAGAGCCTTGCAGAAATATTAATATGGTTTAAAATTTTTACATTTAAAAATGTTAAATTTTTCTTCTTTTTTTTTTGAGTGCGTTTGGAATGGTTGTTCTTTCAGCTTAGATGTATGAAAGTCCCCCCAAGTTAAAATGCTCGGTATTGACTGCTTTTCTGATTAATGCTGTCCTTTTCCTGCCTTTGAGTGGATCTCCATTGTTTCTGGTGTTTCCAGATTATGGACATGTTTGGGGACAATATTTTCACCTTAACCTTCTCCTTACCAACTGGGTGACTTCTGAAAGCAGCAGATTTTATTCAGAGGGAAGTGAATAAAGATGGGTGAAAGAAAAGAAAAACAACTGCATAACAAGCTTTTTAATTTTCCGTTTGTGAAGAAATTCCGCCACACTGTTAAGTGCGACTTTTGTGGGTCTCTCCCATAAAGGTTTGTTGTTGTACTATGTGGCAAATGTGCAAGCTCAGCTAATGTAGGCAATGTACATCACCACTAGCTGACTGTTCGTAGTACTCATGCATAATTCAGGATAAACAGTCACCCAACCTTTCGTCCAACCTTTGGTTTAGCTAATAGTTAAGCTTTGTCTTATTTCTCTTTGAATCGCTCACTTGACAGACGCCCCCAGCCAGTGACAAAACAAGGGGTCCCATGTGGCAGGACGACGTCCCGCTCTGGAAGGCACGCAGGTGTGATTGTATCAGACAAAGCAACAGGGGAAGACAGCTTAATCAGAGCAATGTCATTCCTGCAAAAAGAAAAAAAAAAAAAGCAAATCACTACCTTTATGTACAAGAGGTGAAAAGAAACTAGCCTCATCAGTTTTTACAGTTTGGATCACCTATGAAATAGCATTCACTGTTAAGCGATACCTCACACTCTTCTACACAAAGAGAAGTGGTTTTAGAAAGCGCTGCCTTTACCGGCTGAGCAGGACGTTGTAGCCTTCATGAGTAATGATCTTGGTTGCACTGCGAGCGACGGAGCCTTCCTCAGTGGCCTTCAGACTGTGCTTCCCCAGCTCCACTCTGTAGTCGTCGACTTCACTGTAAGAACGGCAACCAGCGAGGCTCAGGGATTCGGAAAGCGAAACAGATTGATTTGTGTGTGTAAATATGTGCTAAAAGGATGTTGGGTAGTATTAGGTGCTTCTATAATCTAATACTTTAACCTGTATTTATAATTGCTTTTAAGCTTTTATTTGAATTCTCCAAAAAAAAAAAAAAAAAAAAAGTTCAAACTTCTTTTGTTTTTTTTTCTTATCTTTTGGTTTATTATTATGACAAAATTCAGGCATCTTCAAGTTATTTACCTTTACAGGCTTCTGAGCTTCTCAGACACAAACAAAAAAGGTGTTGTTTTTTTATGTTGGAACAAGATCAAATCTTTATCTAGAGCCATATTCAACAAAATATAATATGAATTTCAATGATATGGGTTTGTCCAATTAAAAGTACCTTTTGAGAAATAACTTTAAAGCAGGTTTTAACGATGCTTTTCATTAAGCCGTGTTTCTTAAAATGTTTTTCTAATTGGTCTGACATAATATTCTAGTCGTAAATGTGTTTTCATGAGCTGCAGGTTGGAAACCATCATCAGAAATAAAGGTTTGAAAACGCTCTGTCCGTAGCATACTGTGCTCCACATAGTGAATTAAATTACTGAAATCAATGTTCAATAAGCTAACCTATCAAAAATGACTTGACATCTAGTCATTGTTTTTAGCGTTGAACATCCAGACAAAAGGCTTGTGTTTTTCTGCTGTTATTTACAAGATTTCACGATTAGATCTATAACAAATGTAACGAATGTCATCTTGGATCAGTGTTCAAGGTTATCTCAGAATACAAAATTACAATATGTAACCGAGAAGGAATTTGTGCAAAAACCCAAAACATAACAGAAAGCAGAAAGGCAAAAAAAAAAAAATATCATGTACTCAATTAAACTATGGTAGACACATTAAAAAGCATCACAAATAAATGAATAAAAAAAAAAAATCCGGTGATGCTTCTGGTTTTCAGGCTTCAGGCTGCAAATGATAAACTTTTGGTCTATGTGTTTGGTGCACAGTGGGAATAAAGAAATAGACACTGACGTGTCATAAAGCTTCCTCTCTCTACATTACATCACATTACATTACATTGGTCCTGACCGGAACTTACTTGATGCAGTGTGCAGCGGTCAGGACCCATTCTTGGGAGATGAGGGTGCCTCCACAGACGTGACTCCAGCGCCCTCTGCTGTTCGACTGGAGCGATACCTCAGAAATACCGGGAATAATATGAACAGATGCATTAAATCACATTAAAAAAAAAAAAAAAAAAA